AGGAGGTGGAGACCACACTGCTCTATCCAAAACGAGGACCCAACCAAGGGAGGGTTTGGGGGGAGGGGGAAAAAACAAACCAAAAAACAAACAAAACAGAAAAAACCTGGCGAAGGGCCCAATCATATGCAGATGTGAGCACCACAGTTCCAAGGATCGTCTTCGGTATAGTTCCCATGTGGGGCCACGAAACGCTTGAAGGATGTGCCGAAATGGGCGGGGATTCGCATGCGAACACTGCCGCTGGGGCCTTCGGTGGAGCTCCCCATGGGGCCACGAAGCGAGGGTGCCCGATATCCCTGGAAGAAATAAAAACTATACATATGGGCGCCGGCCGAAAATGCGGCGGTCGGCGTTTCTGGGGAACGCGGCTATTTCGGCCAGATCTGGGGGCCCAGAAAGGCCCAGTTCTCCAGCTTCGTCTCTGCGCACATCGCTGGCGTCGAGAATCCTTGCCCGCGCGCACATGCATACATAAAATGTCGGAGGTCCGCGCGAGAATCTGCCGGATGCCTGCAGCCAAGGGTGCCCGATACCCCTCGAAAAATTCGCCAGCACACCGGGCCCGAGGGGTGCTAAAATGTACGGTGGGGGATTCGTAACAGTTCCAGATCGCGCACCCGCGCGGCGGCTCCCGCTGGGGCCCCCAGACCGGAAAAATATCCATGGGCACGTCCCGGCAAGGTCTCCCGGCAAGATGCGGGCCTTCGATGCCAGAACTCCTGGAAGCGTGGTCCTGGGGGCCCTCGAGCGCACACCAAGAAGGCGCCAAATGGGTGGCAGGCCCCACGGCCACTCGGGCCACGAGCGCGCCAAGACGGCCCAAGAGGGCTCCGACAAGACCCGAAGAGGGCCCCGAGAGGCAAAACCCGTGGATGTTGCTTCGGCCGCTGAACGGTTCTGAAAGGCTCTGGCGCTGCTGCCGCTGCGGGTTTCCGACCGCCCAGGACGGGCCAGGAGGCCGCCAAGACTGCCCCGAGCCAGCCCAAGAGGCTCCCAGGACGGCCCCCAGAGGCCCAGTAGGACACCAACACGGCCCAAGAGGCCCCCCACGAGAGCTGCAGAGGCCCCCAAGAAGGCCCCAGAAGGGGGAAAGGCGAACTCACACGTCGAGCCGGCCCCGGCAGATGGCGCCTGAGGCCGCCAGCAGGCCCTCAAGATGCCCCCAAGGAGGCCCCAAGGAGCCCCCGGAGACTCCGCAAGGGGTCCCCAAGAAGCCCCAGGAGGCCACAAAGATGCCGCCAAGAAGCCCCCGAGAGGCCTCCGAAGAGACCCCAGGAGGCCTCCCAAAGAGGCATCTGGCCCACTGGCACCAGGAAACCCCACCCCACCCCCGAGAGGCCTCCAGAAGGACCCCAAGAACCCTTCAGAGAGGCATCTGGTCCACGACCCAGTCTGGTCCCAAGAGTGCCCCGGAAAGCCATCGAGTGCCTCCCAGACTCCTGCTGGCCACGAGAACACGAACACACTCCCGGTCGCTACGACCAGACGGGCACGCGGCAACGGTGACACTGTATGGGCCTGCGGAATGAGCGAAGCGATGAAGCTCAACAGGCCGCCTGCGGGCCCTCGCCGTGTGAGGCGTCGAAGGTCGATGATGATGATGATGATGATGATGATGATGATGATGATGATGATGATGATGATGAATGATGACGATGATGACGATGATGGTGATGGTGATGATGATGATGATGATGGTGATGCTGATAATGATGATGATGATACTGATGATGCTGATGATGATGATGGTGATGGTGATGGTGATGGTGATGATGATGGTGATGATGATGATGATAATGATGGTGATGATGATGATGATGGTGTTGCTGCTGATGATGATGGTGGTGTTGATGATGCTGATAATGATGCTGATGATGATGATGATGATCGCACGTAGTTTGGCGAAATAATTGTGCTGATGATGCTGATGCTGATGCTGATGCTGATGCTGATGATGGTGATGATGATGGTGATGATGCTGATGATGCTGATGCTGATGATGGTGATGATGATGATGGTGGTGGCATGGAGGATGGCGAGATTGGCATGCACAAGGCATGCTAAGAGGGGCTTCGCGCACTCCGCCGACCGATGATGCTTCGAAGACGCCCTTCTCACCTCCACTCTCGTATCGACACGTCGTAGAGAAGAGCAAGTGATCCGCGCTCACAGGCTCCTGGGCACGCGAAAGCACGAGTGATTTGCGCCTCGGGGCTCCTGGGAGATGTAAAAATACCTATACGACCACCCTTCGAAAGAACCAACTGCTGGCAAATGCGATGGGTGTGATGATGACGATGCTGGTGACGCACCCTCGAGTCAGCGACGACGCGGGATGACGATGTTGCGCAACGATGTAATGTCACTATTGTCACCGCGTTCGATCTCACTCGATCGAGCCCACTATCGACCTAACAGGATCGATCATACTCGATCGATCTCACTATAGATCTTACGAGCGATATCACTGCAAACATCACTATGTATCTCGCTTTCG